TGAGAGTCTAAGGGTCGGGATAAAGACTATTCCCTACCCCATAACCTAGTTCACGTGTTTGCTCCCACACTCAACTGGAGTGATAGCCAATCCATCCCTCTCCCACATTCCAAGTAATAAGTAACTGCTAACAATAGCTATCAGCTTATAAAGAAGGCTTTCTGCCTTTCACCTGTACTTACAAGTGTCTCTCCTTTCACAGGTGGGGAGGTAAAACACAGAGAGTGAATACTCCTCACATTGCCAAGATCATATAGCCAGAGCATGGCAAGAGGTCCCTGTCTAACGGCTCACCACTCTGGTGCCTGGATGAGTGACGATCCAGTCCATCTGAGCTACCGTAAGCAAAGACCTTAGACTGGATGCCGTATAAACAGCAGACATGTGTTGCTCACAGTTCTAGCAGCTGTGAAGTGCGAGATCAGATGTCAACAGATTCAGCCTCCACTGAGGGTTGCCTTCACCTTCTTGCTTCGTGCTTTCCGTAGAAGAGGGAGAGAAAACAGAGCTCACTGGAGTCCTTGTTATAAGACAGCAAATCCCTTTCCTGGGGACGGAGCCCTCATGACTTAATTTCCTCTCAGAATGATCTCATGGGCTATTAGTCAGATTCCAGCGTAGGGATTTTCAGGAGACATCAGCTTTCAGGCCACAGCAAGGGCCCAATGTGTGATTGGGTTGGACGGACCAGGGGCAGCCAGACAAGTTAGAAAGACTGCGCTCCGCACTCGGCACTCTGGGGCTTGCCTGCTACACCCTGTGCCTTTCTTGTTAGTAATGGATAACTGTGTTCTACTCATGGGTTGGACACTCTAAATTTTGGATGAAGACGAACACTCATTCTTTACTCTCCACCCCACTTCCCCTCCCCCCCCCAAAAAAATAGTTATCTCTGCAAATTAACCATTTCAATTCTTACATCAAGCCTGGGACTAGATTGTTCTGCTATTTGCATCAACTCCACAAACTGAAGTACAGCAGGATCTCAGGAAGCAGCAGAGCCAGTGCTCACAGCCAGGCTGCCTGGCCGTGGGGTCTGCCCTTGAGCAGCCTCAGCCCCTATCGCATTCTCCATGGGCATCAATCAGCCTGACTTTTAGTCCTTGACGCGATGCAGACAGTGCCTCCTCTCCCCTTTCAGAATAAATCTCAGTGCTGACTCCTTAAGTGGTGACTTTGGGGGTTTGAAGGCCTGATCTGTTGGCTCCAACCTCAAAACTAGGACCCAGCAAGCTGAAGTTAGTGAATGATGGGATAGTGAAAGGGAACAGGGCAGCGATGAACGACAATAGGTGCCTTACTAATCGTTTACCTGTCTCTACTCCTTGTAATGTACTCGCCCTACTACATCTTAATGAGAAGGCTGATTTGGGTCATGATTCACTGGGTTTGGTAAATATCTCTCTTCCAGAAACCAGCCCGCAAGACATCACCTCTCCTGACCTTGGACGTTCAAAGGCAGAGTCAGGTGCATCCCCGCAGCACTGGAGGCAGTTGCCTAGGAGATGGGATTTCAGTGAGTGAGAAAGACTTCCTGGGAAAGAGAAGAGAGGGAAGCCAATTCTGCCTGCTCCAGCAAAACTGAAACTCCTCTAAAACATCCTTTATTCCACAATGACACGTAAGGCTTATTTGCAAAAAACAGAGAGCCAAGGAGTACAGTGCTTTCAACTCACAGTGAAAAGGATAAAGCTAGTATTAAAGCATTACCTGACTATCCAGGTAAACAAAAGGCAGTAAACAGGGAGTGCTGGAGGGGGAAGGGAACATGGTGGGTGCCAACCATTTCCCAGATCAGACTGCACACCCTCCCTCGCCACACCTTCAGAGCTCTGCAGCCTGCCGTGCATCTCCCTACGCGGCTTCCCTCCTGTCCTCGCCATGCAAACTTTCTGCTTCATTTTCCAAAGCCCAGCTTGAATGTCTGTTTATTCCCACCCCTCCTCCACAAAGCTCCTGAATTCCTGCTCCCAAACAGCTTTATACATTTTTTGTCAACATTATTCATATTAAATAAAAACAGACCCCCCAAAAAGAAGAGCACTACATCACTTATTTTATGTTGGTAATAATGGGAGATAGGCACAATCATTTTCAAATTACAGATGATGAAATGGGTCTAGGGGTGTTAAGTAACTTGCCCCAGTCTGTTGGGCAAATACAAAGCAGAGTTAAGACCACACTGTGGGTCATGTTATCTGATCTGGCCCTAAGCCCTCCTGATGAGAATTTATCATCCACTATTTCAATGGTGATCTTCCCTGACAGACTATGAACTAACTCCTTGGGACAAAAGTCCTGGCTTATTGCTTAATCTCCCTTTGCATCTAGCATAGGGTGTGGCACTAGTCAGGTAAAGATTTGTTCAAAGAAAGGAATAGAAAAAGGAAGGAAGCAAAAAAGGAATAAGAGAGCAACATGATCAACAAGATATAGCATGCCACAGTGCAGGCCTACAATCTGGTGTTTGCAAACTGAATTAATCAAATGACTCCACACAGGTACTTGGTTCCTGTCCCCAGCCCTGCAGAGACTACACAGGCAGATCAAGTCTAGACTGCAAAGTGGCAGGACTATACTATGCTGAAATAGTGTCTGGTACAGATTATACTCTCAATCTACTATGAACACACAGCTTTTGGGGCTATTATCTAGTCGTTTGGTCAATTTGCTGTGTGAGAAATGAGTTTTTTTAAGTCACTAAGCTGACCTGCTTAGTAGGCTTTTGAGGGAATGATTTCCAATCGCTTTGCAATTCTGACAGCCTGTCAGTCCTAAACCTCGCGACGGTGGACTTCCCACTTTCAACAGCACTGCACAGCAGTAGTTTTTACCGTGATCATTTCATTGTAAGATTCGAAATGATTAGGGGCCGGGGAGATGGCTCAGTAGAATAAGTACTTCCCTGGCAAGTGCAAGGGTCTGAGTTCAGTCCCCAGTTCCAAAGGGAAAAAAAAAGATTCCAAATGATGCCAAAATATACAACTTGTTTTATATTAGATAATTTTGTTTTTCTCTTGCCCAGCTTCCATTCTGCTGTCCCTCAGATATAAGCACAAAGAATGGCCAACATGCATGTACACTGACACAAAAACTAACATATGTGTCATCTTCTACATAAGTGGATTGATTGCTCTACTATATATAATCCTACAACCACTTTTCTCATTTACCAAATTTGGGACCTTCTAACAGTGGTCCAGATTTTTCATTCGTCATAGTGCCTGTATCATGGTCCCCTATAGAGATGTATAAACAGGGGATTATTTAACCAATCTCCTACTGATGAGGATTAAAGCTGGTTCTTTAAAAAAAAAGAAAGTGTGATAAATACTGCTCTAAAGGTTTAGAGGATGCCACAGACAACAGAGACTGAAAATTGGATAAGACTATATCCATATCCATGTGTAAATATAGATAATATAGATAAACCTTGAAGTCTTATGCAAATGTTCCATAATATAGATTTTGGAGGTGAGACTTAAGATTCAATAGGCATGGGTATATTTAATTTTAACAATGTACCTAGCTGCCCTTAAAAGTGCTGTACTAGGGCCGGTGAGATAGCTCAGTGGACTAAAGCACCTGCTTAAGCAAGCGCAGGGACTGTGGTTCAATCCTTGGCACCACTTGCCATGCAAGCCCTGTCCACAGGGCAGACTGAGCTAGTCACCGAGTCCAGGCATGGTGGCACACGCCTGTAATCCCAGTGCTGGGAAGGCTGATAACAGAAGAATCACTATGAATCCGAGCTGTGTAGTGAGACCCTGTAATAACCAAATACATCTTTAAAAATGCTATACTAATGTACCCTCCTCCCATTATGTACTAAACATGATGAAAAAGAACACTTTTGAGATGTGATCTGAGCAAAGGACTTCTTTCCTAGGAGCCTCAGCATCCTCTGTTGTACAATGACAGCATTTCTAGGATTCCACATCCGTATGGAGATGTATTAGGAATTCGCTTTCCTTTGAGTTCATAACCTTCATGTTCAGGAAGAAATCAGGTGAACCCCAAAGGGATTTCACAGATCCCCATGCATAGCAGGAAGGGAATCATCCTTTCTCTTCTCACATCCTCCCTCTCCCTAAGCACACTCAGCATTGCCACCGGGATGCACCAAACTCTAGCACACCGACCACAGAGGCCCGACGGGACCAGAAGATGGAGTGAGGTGCAAAGCAGTGAGGGCGCTCCAAGTTGGGTGATGCCCACGCCACTGTCACCCAGAATCCCAAGTGTCAGGTTATATCACACACCTCAGCATGTGGCTATTATATTTTTATGTTCGCTGGCCATGAAAAAGTTAATCCACAGCACAGAAAGCACATGGGATGCAGCAGACATCATTCCGTGCTGAAAGTGAGATGCACAAATCAGTGCTCACTCACTTGGCATCCTACACACTGCCTGGCTGTGCCCCTTCACTGAAAGCTGAGATCATTTCACTTGTGATGTCTCTTCCTCCACCCCGGCAGCTCCATCACTCTCACGAGCTCATTTTTCTTTCTGATACTGAAGATGAGAGAAAGGTTCATTCACGTAGGTAATAAATGAACCCCTGACTTTGGAAGAGGGGTAATTAGTGCACATTATCACTTGGACTAATGAGATCAGAGCAGTGTTCTCCGCACCCAACATGCCTAATCAGGAATTTAAATTAAGAAGCCCTACTCTCTGTGATTAAGGAGATATTCACTGAAACACTGCACTCCTAATTCCTTTGTATTCTCATTCACCAGCTCAATATCAAATGTTTTATGACAGTGAAAATATGCTCAGTCTAAAAGGAACAGATGCCCAAATCTCCTTGCGCTCGTTTAGAGAGACAACCTGATTTTTCTTTATCTGGGGTGTTATCAGCCAGGATTAGAAAAAGACACAGAGACGCACAAGTGAATCTAACTGGATTTGGTTGAAATTGTTTCGTTATGAGCTGTATAAACAGAGCTTTCACAAAACTCCCACAACCATGAGAAAAAGAAAGGCTCAGGCATGGGCGGAGTTGGATAGGAATGTATACAAATTCTACTGTCACAAAACTCCCTGTTTTCTTTGGACAATCATTCTGATAGGGGGAGGTGGAGAAATGTCCTTCAATTCTCTAGTAGTCTAGCAAAACTTCCTTTTGGTCCTGCTCCATGTATCTGATGTACCGTACTCACTGTTGCGTGAAGGGCACAGCATCTAATAGAAAGCAAACAGATTTTGCACTCAGATCTGGACTTAAATCTACCTCAGCCACTACTTACCAAAAACCCTTACATGAAACAATAATAACTCTGTGCCTCAATTTTCTCTTCTCTTCTGAATTTGCTTTAAAATTGAGAACTTCTGCAGAACCGGGGATTGAACTCAGGCCACTGCGCTTGCCAGGGAAGCACTTATTCCTCTGAGCCATCTCCCCAGCCTTAGAAATCTCTATTAAGAAGGTAAAGAGAGAAGCCACAACTGTCAAGATAATATTTAAATCAGAGCAGTGCAGGAGCTGGGAATTGGAGGTGTTGAGTTGGTCATAATGGCAGGTGAAGAAATTAATGAAAACTGTCCTGTAGAGATTCATGAGTATTTGTCAGCATCTGAGAATTCCATAGGAGCTGTGGACGAGATGCTGAAGACCATGATGTCTGTTTCAAGAAATGAGTTGCTGCAGAAGTTGGGCCCACTTGAGCAGGCTAAAGCAGATTTAGTTTCTACATACATGTTAAACTCAATATTTTGGGTTTATTTGGCAACTCAAGGAGTCAATCCAAAGAAGCATCCAGAAAAGTAGGAATTGGAAGGAATCAGAGTATACATGGACCAAGTCAAGGAAATTATGGACAATAAAAAGAATGACAAGCTGATAGATTTGTGAAAAATGCCCTCTGGGAGCTGAAACCTAAACATACAGTAAAAGTTGTCAATGAAGGAAAAAGTAAAACTTAGCTTTTGACTTTGATGTACACATATGCAAAAAGTACATCATTTTTATGTTTTGATAACATAGGTGATTATGTAGCAGTGAGAGGTTTACATTTATTTTCTTTTGAATTCATATCTAAGTTTACACTTTAAATGTGTAATGCCAAGAATTCTCTTTCCCAAAAGACTGACTTGTCTTTATTGATTGTCCTGTAGAGCACCATGAGGTTTCTCACACTGTGATATATTTTATATTTATGGTTTATCATCTCTTTTGGCAAGATATTCACTTTATATAGATCAATCTTTTGGGGTTTTTTGTGACAGGGATTTGACTATCACCTAACTTTTGGCCTGGCCTTGAACTCACTGTATAGCTAAGGCTGACCTTGGACCTGCAGGAACCACAAGTTCCTGACTTCTGGGATTCCAGGCATGCACCACCATGACTGACCTATGTAGGTCAACCTTGCAAGTACCACTTTGTAACTGATTGTGAAATTTAAAAACATTTGTACTGTTTTAAGTAATAACCTTATAAAATGTGCTTTCTATAAATTGAAAATTTAAATACATGTGTTTTTACCATATGATATTAAGAATGAAATGGCTTAAATATCTACTTTTTCTGTGTAGTTAATTTATCATGTTTTCATTGTTTCATAAATGATTGGGATTTTTTAGTATTCAGAGTATGAAATCAAAACTTTAGTACTTTAATTCTTAGCCTATTGACTTAGTGTTATATTTAAAATAAAATATATTCTCATAAACTTTGGTGGGAAATAAGGTTGTATGTTGATGGCTGGATGTTGGTCTCATGGCTATACCCTCTTAATAAAGATTCAAGATATTGGGTAGTTAAAAAAATAAAATAAAGCAGCAGCAATAACATAAAGTCCTATGCAGAATATATAAAGTTCTCTATAAATAAGTTTTAAGGGGGCCAGGGAGATGGCTCAGTAGAATAAGCACTTGCCTGGCAAGCACAAGGGCCTGAGTTCAATCCCCGGTTCCACAAAAAAAAAAAAAATCTTTAAGAAGGCAAACATTTCACAGAAAGTTTAATAAAAAAAGTTCAAACATTATACAAAGGCAAAGTCCAAATGGTCAACAAATATATGAAAAGATGCCAAATCTCATTGAAATTAGAGAATGCAAACTTTAATCTTAAAATTCTGCTTCACACACATACACACACACACACCTCAGAATGAAAAAAGAGTCTACTAATATCAAGAGGCATCAAGAATATATAGCAATAAAATATTTATCCACTGCTAATGGAAGTGGATTTTATTATTATTATTATGAAATACTATTTGGCGTTATGTAAAATTTCAAAGAAAGACATATACCATGAGAAAAAATTGTCAGGTTTCCATGTCAGGTACCTGTTTCTAGGAAGCTTGTGAATGTGCATTTGCATCACATGCATATTTATAGCAGCACTGTTTATAGTAACAAAAGATCTAAGAAGAACCTAAATGTCTATCAAATATAAAACTAATTACTTGTGACATCCTCATAGTGGGTGAAAAAGGAATTAAAGTCACAAAATGTAGCATGTGTGAGCTTCAGAAACATAATGCTAAAGACAAAAGCAAGTTGTAAAATAAGTCACATCGCATGGTTCTGTGTATATGAAGCTTAAAATATGCAAAATTAAATCACATATCAGACCCAGCAATCTGGCCTCAGAATCCATCCTCGACAGCACAAGCTCATCACCTGCAGCAGAGCAGAGGGGGACAACTGGGAATAGAACAAAGGCAGAGCGAGGTGACCCCAGATGAGGAATCACCCATGAGTCACCAGGACCTGGTGAAAGGGTGGGAAAACACCAATGAAGTAAAATGAGACGGATAAGGAGGCAGGAAGGAAAGATAACAACGGCCCACATCTCAACAAATGATGCACAGCAGCCTAGCTGTGAGGGTTTCACCACTTCCGCTAGGAGAAGATATTATGAGTTTAGGCCCACTGTTCTGAGCCAAAACCAGCGTGTTTTTCTGGGTCAGCCTAGAGAGAGCAGTGTGCCGACCAAGATCAAGGTGTTAGGCTGCATTCACTCCTGCAGGCTCAGGTTAACACGGGGCCACGGTCAGGACTCCCACTCGCTCCTGGCATAAGAGTCCTGGCTTCCATTCTCTGTGTAGGAAAAGTGGAGAAGAAACAGACAGGGATGACGCACCTGCTATGGTCTTGATGTAATGTACACAACTGCATCAGTCCTCGCTGTAGCCTGCACAGCAGGTAAGATGATCTCCTTAGCAGTAGGGACGCCAGTTCTCAGAGCTGCTAAGTGTAAAAGCTCTTTGACTTATGGTGGGGTTATGTTCAGATAAACCCATTGTAGGGTGAATTTAATGCACTTAACACTAACCAAGCTGTCTGCCTAATGTGTCTGAGACCCTGGGTTTGATCACCAGCACTGTGAAAACAAAATGAAATGAAAGCAAAATTCAACATACAGGTTACATCAAGTGTATATGGCTTTTACAACACCATAAAATTTAAAACCCATCGTAGGTCAAAGTCCTTCTATAACTTGGATATGGCCTCACCAAAGGAGAGTGACTAGTGTAGCTACCAAAGTAGCAGGTTCCATTTCAAAACCATCTCCAGGGAGAGGAACCACTGAGGGCCAAATTAAATAACACAAAAAAGTGGCAGAGTTGGTACAGAAGAGAAAATAAAAGCGTATGCAATGTCGCACATCACCACCGCCACAACCAGGAAATAACGACTTCTGGCTAGTAGAAGACCAGTGTCTCTGAGGCGTACCACATTGGAAAGGGCAAACACACACTCAGGAGATTTTTTAAGGAGAAATGTGAAAGAAAATGAGAACAAACACAGAACATCCAAAGAAGGAAAAAGTAATATGATGTATGTCATAAAAGTCTCATTCCCTTAAAACAATTTTAAATATACAAAATTATAATCTTAATTCTAGATCCTGTGTTGGATATCAGGTTCCTATAACTTGGTTCAAATGTGCTAAGAACACACTGAATTCTTGCCATAACTAATCAATGAGTTAACCAACAAGTCAGGCACACGGAAACTGTAGTCAGAGGCATTGGGTGTGTCTGTCGCCTTGATGGCGGTGATGGCCTTGCTGGTGTGCGTGTATGTCCTAACTCATCAGACTGTACTCATCAATTAGCCCTCAAATAAACCTGCTAAAAAGGAAAACAACACTGTCATCCTAGTCTTTGTTGAGACCAGGAGAAATCATTAATTTATTTAAATCAGGGTCACAAAATCATCAACCCCAAGGCTTTCTACCCCAAATCCCTTGAAGTAAATCCAAATAGCTCAGCCTGCTGTTTGTCTCTTCAGCTTGGAGAAGTTAATAAATTGGCTATCAGAGGCTGTTTCAGTCTCCAGGCTTCCTGCTCATCCGATTAATGATAATCTACTGGGGATGAGCACAGTGTTCAGAGCAATGTCAGAAGACCATTAGGGGAATTCCAATTAATCCTTCAGAAACCAACTCCCCTTTGACATATGGCTGTGCAGAAAGCCTGTGCATTTATCTCAGCCAAACAAAGCTGCAGGACCAAAAGCCTTCAGAAAAACCAAATTTCCACATGGGTAGACCTGGAGGACGTCACAGGAAGTGAAATAAGCCTGGCACACTAAGACAAATAGCACATGATCTCACTCACATGTGAAAGCTAGGAAAATTGATGTCATAGATGTAGAGAGTAAAATAATGGTCACTGAAATCTGGGGAGAATGAGCAAAGAGAGGGAAGATTGGGTGCACAGCAGGTACCAAAACCGACATAGAGAGAAGGAACAAGTTATGTTGTTCCACAGCGCAGTAGGATGACTGGCTTTCACAATTTACTGTATATTCTCATAAATAACAAGGGTAGAGAGGTTCAAAGCTTCTCAGAACAAAGCAATGATAAATATTTAAGGAGCTGGAAATGCTAATTACCCTAATTTGATCATTATACATTGTGTACATGTATCAAATTATCATATACTACCCCATAAATATGTATAATTACAATAAGTTAATTAAAAAGAAGAGGAAAGGAAAAAGAAAGGCTGTCTGAACTCAGCTCAGACCAGGAATGGTGGAGTGGAGGAAGTCTTGAGAACAAGAGGTGTGGCTGGCACAGGGAAGCTAGTGCAGGTCTCTCTGCTGTTTCATATCGCCGTATGGAACCCATTTGGCACTCTCCCACTCCCGTGACCCAACCGGTCTCTCAGCAACACTTACCCCCACACTCTTCTCACTGCTACCATTTATAGAGAGACTCT